TTTCTTCCTATCATGATGCATGCAAAGCTTTGGATTCCCCTCTTCCACACCCCCACCCTTCCTTACCCTCTCCCCTCAAGTTTTTGTGTTGTTTAAGCTCTGTACTTTCATGTGCAACTATGTGATATGACAAGTATGGTCCTCATACTTTTGATTTTTGTATACAGCAACTTCTTTGTTCGTCACATTTATTACAGATGCTGTACTTTTTCTATTATTGCAAATTTTTGAACAAGAAAGTAAGTTCACAAATCAGAGTTTTCTTTATACTACCATCTTACATTTCAATTGGTATAACATTCATATCATATATTTCCCAAAATGCAGCAGCAGGAGAAGTAATACTCCCTTAGCTTGTGGCAGATGGAGAGACAGGAAACTTCAGCCATAAAGTCATGCTGATTGAGACCCTGAGAACTGCAGAAAGGTAGAGGGGTGTTTTAAGAAAGGCTACACTGAATACTAATATATCAGTTTTGGGTCACCTGAAAGCATAGGAAAAGCTTTGCAACAATATCAAGGCAAGAAATGGACCTGGAAAAAATGTATCACACCACAAAATTCTGTTAATTAAAAAAAAAAAAACCCTTAACTTTAACACCGTTAACCCTTTATGCATAACTTTAAAACAACGTTTCTCAACCTTTAAAAATATGCAAATTCACGAGGCTCTTTAGTCTAAAATGTAAGGCTGAAGATAAAAAATATATATATATATATATATATATATATATGTATATATATATATACACACACACACCGACATTAATTGTTAAATATATTTCACAAGGAAAAATGCAATACCAAAGGAATTGTCTACATAGTCAGAGACTGCACAGGCTCTCTGACACACAGGATTGATTTACTAAAGACAAATATGTAAACCAGGGCTCAAAATTTCAAGTCCTGAGCTGCTCGACAGGACTTAAGAGTTACTCGCCACCAGTTGCCCCACCCAACCCCTACCCTGCCCTTAATTCCACCCTTAAACATGCACTTGTAAATTATCTCATAAAATGGCACTGTTAAATGTTTTATGCAGAATGAAGGAAGACGAGGGAAGGAAGGAAGAAAGGAAATGGCAGGAAGGGAGGCTTAGAAGGGAGAAAGGGAGGGATGGGTGGAAGGAAGGGAGGGAGGGAAGGAAGGGTGGGAGGAAGGGTGGGGAGGGGTGAGAGGGAGGGTGGAAGGAATAATGGGAAGAAAGTGTGGGAGGGGTGGAAGGAAGAGAGGGGGAGGGGTGGAAAGGAAGGAAGGGGTGGAATGGAGGGAGGGAGGGGTGGGTGCAGGGTGCGGACTGACAACTCATGGGGCCCCCGGGCAATAGGGGATGATGGGGCCCCTGTGTCCTTGCCCACACTCAAAGCACACCAAAAAAAAAAAGCCTATAAAAAGTACCAGGGTCATTTCATGGAGCCCCCTACTGACCCTGGGCCCTCAGGCAGTGCTCAAATGGTCAGTCTGCCCCTGGGGGGGTGGGTGGAAGGAATGAAGGGAAGGAGGGGTGGAAGGAAGGACGGGAGGGGGGTGGAAGGAAGGAAGGAAGGGAGGGGTGGAAGGTGGAGATGGGGGTGGGGGAAGGGAAGGAGGGAGGTAGGGGTGGTTGGAAGGGAGGGGGGGGTGGAAGGAAGGGAGGGAGAGGTGGAAGGAAGAGGAAGGGGATGGAAGGAAGGGTGTGAGGGAGGGTGGAAGGAAGGGGGTGAGAGGGGTGGTAGGAAGAAAGGGTGGGAGGAGTGAGAGGGAGGGTGTAAGGAAGTGTGGGAAGGAAGGGTGGGAGGAGTGAGAGGGAGGGGTGGAAGGGAGGGAGGGGTGCACAGGAAGGGAGGGGTGGAAGGAAGGATGGGGTGAAAAAAGGAAGGGTGGGAAGGAAGGGGTGGGAGGGAAGGGGTGGAAGGGAGGGAGGGAGAGAAGGAACAATTGGAGGGGTGGAAGGAAGAGAGGGAGGCGATGGAAGAGAGGGAGGGGGGTGGGTGGAAGGAAGGAAGGGGTGGAAGGAAGGGAGGGGTTGGTGGAAGGAAGGAAGGGAAGGGTGGAAGGAATGGAGGGATGGGTGGAAGGAGGGAAGGCAGGAATAGAGGTCGAATTCACAAGACTCAGTCACATGCATCAGAGCTGTCAGCTGCTCTGTGTTCAATTTCCCGCCCACACATCCTCTGAAGCTGCATGGACTGGAATGTGGGTGGGCACAGGGGGAGGCAGAGCAGATACAGCCTCTCTCCCCTCTTCTCCTATTGGTGTGGAGGATGAGGGAGGGGCTGGGCACTGAGGAGCACACAGCAGGGGGAGGGCCAGAAAGAAATGGAATGATCAGGGATGATCAGTGCAGCGGTGGGGGCAGTTACAAGGACCGATCTCCTGTATGTCTTTTAATGAAGCCGCGCATCTCCTCTCCCTCCTATGACTTCCAGCTGGCTTTCACTGCCCCCACCTCCGCCCCTCCCACACACCCCTAGTCCCGGCGCTGCTCACCCCCCCTTTATTTACAATGCGAGCGGGCAACTGGAAGTTTCAAGAACTGATGTAGACTATTCACTTTACAAGGGAATTGTCCCCAGAGCTTAGTAAGTCAGGTGAAGTTCAGCTGACTACCATCATCCAATCAAATGCAACTTGGTCTGGGTGACTTCTCTTCCAATTCCTGTTCCTGATTTTTGGCTCCTGACTATGCCGACTTCTGGTTTCCTTACCCTGGCATCTCGTCTGATTACCCACTCTGGCATCCAGACCCTGGCTTCTGTTTTGACTACGTTCCTTATATTTGCTATTTCATTAAAGGTCTCTTTGCCTGGTTTATGGTTCCTGACATTACGCAAGGGCCATGAATGGTGCAGACAGTCCACCTAGTTATAATATTTTTTCCAGATTGGGCGAGCAGAGCCACCGCTTGGATAATTTTGACATAGCATTACAAATGCTCCTAATCTGAACTGCTCGTCTGGATCCTCCTACCCCAGCTGCTCCAGTACAACCAGTGTTGCAAGCCATCCCTGCTGCTGCTCCTATCTCAGTTCAGGCAGCCGCCTCTGATACTACCACTGTAAGAGGTATGACTGGTCCTGCTCTGCTTCCCCAGCAGTTTGGTGGTGATCCAGCTCACTGCAGCGGGTTTCTCAACCAGGTTGGTATATATTTTGAGATGCTACCCCAGGCATTCCTTACAAGCAGAAGCAAAGTAGGCTTCATTATTTCTTTGCTTTCTGACAAAGCCTTAGCTTGGGCAAACCCACTATGGGAGACACAAAAACTCGTTGTCCAGAACTACCCTGAGTTTGTGGCCTCCTTTAAAAGGGTATTTGATATTACTGCTTGCTCATCCTCTGCTGCCAAGAGCCTCATGTCCATTAAACAGAGTACGAGAACTGTTGCCGACTACACTATTGAATTCCGTACTCTGGCAGCAAGGGTTAGTTGGAACAATGAGGCTCTTGTAACTGCTTTTTGCCTCTCTGATAACATTAAAGATGAGATTGCAGCTCGAGATATACCTAAGAATCTTGAGGAGCTGATCTCATTTTCCATTCTCACTGATACCATACTCTGAGAGAGACCTTCCTTTATGGAGTGCTTGCGGAAGCCTCCTGTCAGGAATGGACTTGCCAGTAATGGTGGGACTCACCTGCCTTGTGGGCTGCAGTACCAGGGCTGGCCAGCGGGTGCTCTCAGCAATCAGAGACTCAACCCTGCAGCCAGCCAAACACCTGAAGCTGATTATGCAGGTGTATTTAAGGGATGGCCAGACCTGCAGTCTGTGCCTTGGTGTGTGCTTTTCTATGGGCCCCTGTTCCTGTCTGACTGATTCGTCTGATTCGTTGCTGACCCTGCCTGATCCGGACCTCTGCTGACTTCTCCTGTGTGATCCCTGGCTTGTGACCCCGACCATTCTCTGCCTGACCCCCTGTACCTACCTGCCCGTTAGTTGCTGTACCCGGCTCGTGACCTGACTACTCTCTGCCTGCTCCTCCTGTTCCTACCTGCCCGATTGTTATTGACCCGGCCTGCCTGACGACGCTTGCATTGTATGTATTGTTATCTGTGGGTGGTTTGGTTTGGTTTGTTTGCACTGTGTTATGTTTTAGTATTGCACTGCGTTTATGTATTGTTAGTGTTAATAAATTATATTGTTTATAACATATCTGAAGCCTGCGTTTCCCTGCGTCAGTTCACATACCTCTGGTCATACCCGGGAGCCCTGACATTACACCAAGGCCAATCCTGACCAGAAGTGGCTGCACAGGGAAGCCATCTTGGTTTATTGTTGCTGGGAAGGATGGATCTGGATGAGGTGGTGTATTTATCTCTGCTAGTGTTTGATGACAGAGAATATGCTTATCAGACTCTGAAGGAGTATCCCAGGGATCAACTACTAGAATGTATACTGATCGCTCATTGCCTAGTAGATCAGGGCACAGAATTCTCTGAGGTGCAGCCATTGATTTAGGTTTGTGCTGAGTTGGTTTCATCTGGTACCCCCGAATGCAGGGATTAATTTTTGCCGCCATTTAGTGCCGACCAGGTAGAGTCCCTGGTATGGTTATTAGAGGATGATGTGGATTACTTTCTGGAGCGTTATTCTGCATGTTCACCACAGACACTAAGAGATTGTGTAAACGCAGTGCAGTCTTTGACCAGACAGGCTTTGTGTAAGCTCAGCTTTGTTCAACCCATACTGCAGACATGGTCAGACTTGTTGCACCCAGCCTCAGTCAGCTTACAACATCATTCCTCCACTCAAGGCACTCTTCCTGCATCCCCGACAGCACCCCCAGTGACTGCCCAGTATACTCTAACTACCACATACCAGTCCTCTGCTCCCACTCGCTGCACCTATCCTTTCTTTAACCCTGTAAAGAAGTCCTCTGTAGCAACTGCTCCCTCCTCTGTTCCATCTTCCAGCTCTTCTCTGTCCTCAGCTGCTCCATTCGTTTGCAGACCTGCGTTTACTTGCAGTGCCCCAGTAGTTAAAACCAGAAAAAAGCGAAAATTCTTTCCAACCAGTACCATCCTGCCAGTATCCAAACCTGCCGTCTGAGAACCTGCCTTCCATGGTTCAGCCTGGTGTCTCGGCACCCGCACTTCAGCCTGATGTCTCTACCCAGCCTGATGTCTCTACCCAGCCTGATGATCCTATCACGCCTGATGACCCAGTGCCCGCTGTCGAGCCAGACGATCCAATGCCTGATGACCCAGTGCCCGCGGTCATACCTGGTGACCTGATGCCCGCTGTTGAGCCAGACGATCCAATGCCTGATGACCCAGTGCCTGCTGTCATGCCTGGTGACCCGATGCCCGCTGTCAAACCAGACGATCCAGCGCCAGATGACCCGGTGCCTGCTGTTGAGCCAGACGATCCGGTACCTGATGACCCGGTGCCCGCTGTCGTGCCAATTGACTCAGAGCCCACTGTTGTGCCTGGTGACTCGGTGCCCACTGCTTTGCCAGATGACGCGGTGCCCGTTGTCGAGCCAAATGACCTGATGCCCGCTGTCGAGCCAGACGATCCAATGTCTGACCCAGTGACCGCGGTCATGCCTGGTGACTCGGAGCCCACTGTCGTGCCTGGTGACTTGGTGCCCACTGCCTTGCCAGATGACGCGGTGCCCACTGGCGAGCCAAATGACCTGATGCCTGGTGACCCAGTGCCCGCTGTCATACCTGGTGACCCGATGCCCGCTGTCGAGCCAGACAATCCAATGCCTGATGACCCAGTGCCCGCTGTCATGCCTGGTGATCCGATGCCCGCTGTCGAGCCAGACGATCCAATGCCTGATGACCCAGTGCCCGCGGTCATACCTGGTGACCCGATGCCCGCTGTCGAGCCAGACAATCCAATGATTGATGACCCAGTGCCCGATGTCATGCCTGGTGATCCGATGCCCGCTGTCGAGCCAGACGATCCAATGCCTGATGACCCAGTGCCCGCTGTCATACCTGGTGACCCGATGCCCGCTGTCGAGCCAGACGATCCAATGCCTGATGACCCAGTGCCCGCGGTCATGCCTGGTGACCCGATGCCCGCTGTCGAGCCAGACGATCCAGCGCCGGATGACCCGGTGCCTGCTGTCGAGCCAGACGTTTCGGTACCTGATGACCCGGTGCCCGTTGTCGTGCCAATTGACTCAGAGCCCACTGACGTGCCTGGTGACTCGGTGCCCACTGCCTTGCCAGATGACGCGGTGCCCGCTGTCGAGCCAAATGACCTGATGCCTGGTGACCCGATGCCCGCTGTCCAGCCAGACGATCCAATGTCTGACCCAGTGCCCGCGGTCATGCCAGTTGACTCGGAACCCACTGTCGTGCCTGGTGACTCGGTGCCCACTGCCTTGCCAGATGACGCGGTGCCCGCTGGCGAGCCAAATGACCTGATGCCTGGTGACCCGATGCCCGTTGTCGTGCCTGATGACCCGGTGCCCGCCGCTCCGCCTGGGGGCCCGGCGCCCGCCGCCCCGCCTGGGGGCCTGATGCCTGTCACTCTGCCTGGGGGCCCGGTGCCTGCCGCTCCTCCTGGGGGCCCGGTGCCCGCCGCTCTGCCTGGAGGCCCAATGCCCGTCGCCCCTCCTGGGGGCCTGGTGCCCGCCGCTCTGCCTGGGGGCCCAATGCCCGTCGCCCCTCCTGGGGGCCGGCGCCCCTCCGCCCGGGGGCCCGGCGCCCGTCGTCCCTCCTGGGGGCCCGGCGCCCGTCGCCCCTCCGCCTGGGGGCCCGGCACCCGCCACTCCGCCTGGGGGCCCAGCGCCCGCCGCTCCGCCTGGGGGGCCCGGCGCCCCGCCGCCCCGCCTGGTGCCCGCCACTCTGCCTGGGGGCCCAATGCCCGTCGCCCCTCCTGGGGGCCCGATGCCCGTCGCCCCTCCTGGGGGCCCAGCGCCCGCCGCTCCACCAGGGGCCCGCCGCTCCGCCTGGGGGCCCGGTGCCCGCCGCCCCGCCTGGGGGCCTGATGCCTGTCACTCCGCCCGGGGGCCCGGTGCCTGCCGCCCCTCCTGGGGGCCCGGCGCCCGTTGCCCCTCCTGGGGGCCCGGCGCCCATCGCCCCTCCTGGGGGCCTGGCGCTCGCCGCTCCGCCTGGGGGCCCGGCGCCCCGCCTGGGGCCCTGATGCCTGCCGCCCCGCCTAAGGGCCTGATGCCTGTCACTCGCCTGGTGGCCCGGTGCCTGCTGCACCGCCTGGTGGCCCAATGCCTGCTGCTCCGCCTGGTGATCCGGTGTCCGCCGCTCCGCCTGGAGGCCCGGTGCCTGCTGCTCCGCCTGGTGATCCGGAGTCCAGCTCGATGTGCCTCTGCCCGGAGTCCAGCTCGATGTGCCTCTGCCCGGAGTCCTGCCCGATGTTCCGCTGCCCGGAGTCCTGCCTGATGTGCCGCTGCCCGGAGTCCTGCCCGATGTGCCAGTCTTTGATATCCCGCCAGTTACCAGACCCGGGCGGTGGAACACCTTTTGCCCAGCTAGGACTGTTTGGAGCGTCCTGAGGCCGCTCCTTGAGGGGGGGGGGGTACTGTCAGGAATGGACTTGCCAGTAATGGTGGGAGATTTTTTATTGTAAAAAATCTTGCAACCAGCATACATTTTCTTATAAAAGTACAAATAAATAAATAAATAAACACATGGCCACACATCCGGCCTTAAATACAATTACACAAGGTTTACTTCACCATGAAAGAAAACATATCATTAAAAGGAAATGCAAACACATTTCAAAAAACAAAAAAAAAAAAAAAAAAAAAAAAAAAAAAGGCCTTTATGGCTTTATACTAAATAGCTATATTGGAGCCTTTCAGGCGCTACCTATAACACTATAACAGTAACAATACATATAAATCCAAGGCTAAGAAACATAGATCTTCGGATGCACAAAGCCTCTCTTAAAAATTCTTCTTCACAAATCTAGGGGAGTAAAACACACAGGAAGAAAGAAAGAACAGAATCCACACCCCAGAGATCAACAGACTGCGACTACAGACATGATATCCTCCACGCCTTTATCCAGGCCCTTCGCCGCAGCCCGTCTTTCTCAAGACCCCGAATTTTCCCAACCTCACCAAGAATGTCATACACCACCACCGAAACAGGAAGGACTTTCTGCCGAAGGGAGACCTGACACCGTGCGTTCCAGGTGAAATATCGGACCACTAGACCAACTAAAAAAAGAGTGTCAAAATCAAACCCCACACGTCTTTCAAAAGCCCCATATACCCCACTCCGCAATAAGACATGCGGTGCAGGAACGGGATGTCTAGAGCCCTCCCCACCTCTTTGTACACCTCTATATTGAAGGGCACTGAAGCAAGAAATGGTCCATAGATTCCACTTCACCCCCACACTCCGCCCTCGGACAACCGCGGTCATCCCAGAGAACGGAACTTCAAGTTCCCCCTCACACATATAGCCTGCCATGGAACGCAAGCCAGGCCTGGTCCCTAAATTTCAAGGGAATCCTTTCCATGTTTTATCAATCTTAAACCCTCCCGCAAAACTATGGCCTGGGCAATCCTTCAAGGCCAGAGGTGCATGAAAAAACGGTGGCCACGACCCTCTCCCTGAGAGATCTCCCAGGAAGCGATCTGACCTCCTCCGCTGTCACACACCACCGCCTAAGAATTTTCAAGCTCGGGGCAACATAAGCCGGGAGCTTACCGTGCTTGACTCTCAGGCTTTTTTCACTGGCCCGCCACTCTCCCAACAGTTCAGAAAAGGTCTAAATCCACATCAGAAATAAACCTACCCATGCAGGCGGCCTCTCTTTCAGCATGTTACCAAAATTATGTTTAATGAACATTACAGAGAAGAAAACGATCGGGTTGACCATTCCTAAGCCACCCTCCCGCCTGGGTCGATAGGTCACATTCCGCTTCACGAGGTTCAGCCTGTTTCCCCATAATAGCTGGAAAAAACAGCTGTAGACCCTTGTGTAGAGAGACTCTGACAAGAGACAGACATAACTGACGTACAAAAAGACCGGAATCAAGTAAGTCTTAATTAGGTCGACCCTTTCCCCTTAAGGAGAGCCGCCACCCCTTCCAGCATCTCACCTTGACCTCGGCATCAGACAACCTGGATTCCCAGTTTTCTTTACCATAATCATCAGGGCCAAAAGTGATGCCTAACACTTTGATCTTCGACTGGGGCACTGGGAAGGCTTCCGGAAGTGAGAAGTTCTCACCATCCCTACCCATCCAGAAAACTTCACACTTGTCACGATTAATCTTGGAGCCTGATGCCTCCGCATACTGCTCCATTCTCCGAAACCACCACCTGCGCCTCCTCAGCCCCAGAGATAAAAAACAGACACATCATCAGCATAGGCTACAACCTTCAAAGGCGGCTCACCAGTTGCGCCCACCAGCACCCCCAGCCCAAAACCCCGCCATCTAGCCTCCTGATGAAGGGGTCGATGGCAAAAGCATAAAGCAAGGGGCTCAGCGGACACCCCTGGCGCACCCCTGAGCCTACCCTGAAAGGCTGCCCAAACCCAACCGTTAACCAGCATGAAGCTCTCTGCCCCTTTGTACAATGTCTTTTAAGCCATCCAATGAACCTCCCTTCCAGGCCATACCGGTCAAGGAGACGCCAGAGGTACTCGTGGTCACACCCGATCAAACGCTTAGCCTGATCCAGCGCCAGCAAATACTTCCCACTGCCATCAGCCCTGCAACGCTCCAGAACCACCCGGACAGCTAACACCGCTGAGAACGTACTTCTGCCCTGGACCGAACAGTGCTGATGTTGTGAAAGCAACTCGTCTGCCACTGACGACAAGCGCCAGAAAAGAATCTTTGGCCAAAATCTTTCTATCGACGTTGAGAAGGCTGATGGGGCGCCAATTCTCAATCGCCGAAGGGTCCTTACCCTTTGACAACAAGATTACAGCCGAAACTCTCATGGAGGGAGGGAGTGAGCCCTCATCAAGACAGCTATTAAAGACCTCCGCGAGACGGGGTGGGGGTGCCAAGCTGGACTTGAAGATCTTAAAAAATTCAGCTGTCAAACCATCCGGCCCAGGCGTCTTCTTGATGGCCAGACTATCTATGGCTTTGGCAACCTCGGCAGCTGTAATCTCACCTGTCAAATTCGCGGGCAGAACATTATTTTCTAGACCTGGCGTAGAGTAGACTCCAAGAAACTCAAACATCCTTGCCTGGTCGAGGTGCTTCTCCTCCAAAAAGATCCTTAAAAAAAGCCCTCGAGACCTCCAGGATTCCCGCCCTGGATTTTGTCAGGGAACCTGTACTGTCTCTCAGACCAGTGATCATCTTAACCGCTATACCTTGCTTGCAATTCTGGTAAGGGTCAGGTGAATGGTATTTCCCATAGTCCCTCTCCAGAACCAAGGAGGCATGCCGATCATATTGATATTTTCTGAGGAGAAGTTTAACCTCTGAGATTGCCCCAGAATCTCCACCCTCAGAGACAAGGCGATCGAGTTTCCTCCTCAACCGTTGGTAGGTAACATATTTATCAAATTGTTTCCTCTTACCTAGGGCCTTGAAAAACCTGCCAATCAGCACCTTGGTAAGCTCCCACCATTCTGACTTATTGTCACAGAAATCCAGGATGGTCTCCTGAGCCTGGAAAAAATCCTCGAAGGATCGTCTCACCTCCTCATCGTCCAGCAGGGACGAATTCAATCTCCAGACACCCCTCCCCTTCAGTGGAGTATCTGCAACATTCAAAGACACAGTTAGCAAAAGGTGGTCAGAGAATTCCACTGCCTGACACACAGGTGCCGAGAAAGCGGAGTCCCCCTTTTTAAAAAAACCTGTCTATTCTACTCTCACTCCTACCTCGCCTAAATGTGAACCCCGTGCTGTCCGGGCTGCACTTAATTAAGGCATCCTCCAGACCTGCTTCCCTGACTATCGCATTTAGAAAAAACGCTGTCATATCCCAGCCTGTCATTGGAGCCTTTCCTGTCTTTTGGCCTAGTAACGGTGTTGAAATCACCTCCAAAGACAACCTGCGGGATGTAAAAAGGAAAGGCTTAATCCTTGTAAAGAGGCATTTCCTGTCCCACTTTGACTGCGGGCCATAAACATTAATGAGCCTCAGCTCCTGCCCCTTCACAAGGACGTCCAAGACCATGCATCTTCCGCGACCTCCACTTCAATGACCCGCCGACACGTTACCATGCCGGAAAAAAAGCACCGCAACTCCGCTGTAAGGCTCGGCCGCAAGAGACCAGAAGGAGGGACCACACCTCCACTCCCTCTTTGCCAGGTGGATATCGGCAAGGCACTCAAGCCGGGTCTCCTGCAAAAAAACAAAATGTCAGCACAAACACCACTGAGCAAAAATAAAGGCCGCACTTTCTAGCACTCACAGACTTTATGCTGGCAACATTAATGGTATGCCACATTTATCGGAGCGGGGGAACTGCCATTAAAGGTAATTGAGAGTAGAGGCGTTTCTTAGCCTTCTTTTTCCCCTTCTTAGCTGAGGGCCTGGTCCTTTTCAGGGACACACCAGAAGCCTCCTCCTCCATCGAGGCAGGGGAGTCCCCTAACTCCTCCCCATCCCCAGACAGAGTCCCCAAACCTATTTTCTAAAGGTAGATCATCCACCTCTCAGAGATGAAAGGGATGTGGCGGGGGAAATTACTGTCCTATTTCTCCCACCTTTTCCCACTACAGACCACTCTTCACCCCCCCCTTTCTCCACCGGGGTTCCATTTACCCCCCATCTGGGTTTGAGGCCTCCCTCCCACCTCCTGACTCCTCCACCGCCACCCCCGGGACATTGCGGCGACGC